CTCAGGTGTGAGGGGTTTGATCTCAGAGCTGAAATCAGAACAGCACATCCTTCCTCTCTAAAACTGCAGGAACTCAGCCTAAAAAAAAAAAGAAAAAACAGTTAAAATCAATAATTTATCAATCAACCAAATTTATATAATAAGCGAGTACACCATAAATCCATTTTCCAAACCTTGTTTTTGGCTTGTCCTGAATCACTACGATACGCCTATAATAAGTGTATATATTTGGACTATTTTAGACTGATTTGGGTAGGTACCGCTGTGGAGTAACCCAGTACTTGCGTGATTTGTCATAGACATAAACTTAGAGAAGTAGCTCCGGCTACAATTTTCTTCCGCAAGACGCACGCAGTTCTGTTTAATAACCGCTAGAGCGCCAAAAGTTACAGAGCTTTAAGTTACTGCAGCTTTAATAGTCATGTGTTATAAAGGTTTGTTATTGAAATGTAAAAAAACAGGACTTAAAGTCCCGATGTCCTCTACAGAGGACATGGCATAACATATGAATAAAATATCATTTTTCAAAAAAATGTTGACATGACAAAATACTAAATTCACAAAACAGTTTTTTCCTGGTAGTCAGGATGGTATGATTCTTTAGGGTCTTCTTGAAATGGTCTCAGTGGTTGTGTAAAACAACACCCTTTTTACCTTGTCAAAAACAGCGCTGTTCACAGAGATTAGTTTCGGTGCATATCTCTTTACATGATAATAAGATCTGCTCACCCCGCTCCTCTCTTCTGTGGAAGAGCAAATAATCATAAAAAATATATAAAGTGTGAGACTTACTACTTCTGGAGGTGCAGCTGGATCATGAACGATGGGTACTGATCCATCCTTGAGTTTGAACTTTTTTACAAAATCTGCCTTGAATTGTCCCTCATTCAGAAAGCAGTCTGGAGCAAAATGATTTGTGCAGACATAAACTAATTTAGGTGTATTCGTTAGCGCACTTCGTATAACTGGCTGAGGGTGGAAATATGCTATGATGCGACAGTACGTCAGCCGTCGTGGGAGGGGCCTGAGCAATATGACATAATTTTGGCTTGATAACTGTTTAGGTTTTTGGGGGATTAAACAAAGGAGTGAATGGATTTTTATCATTGTAGAGTGGTTTTGTCTATGCACTACCAAGACACATTTATATGCAAACGAAGATATTTTGCATGCGATGTCTCCTTTAAAATTGAGATATTATAATCTTAATTCAAGTGATGAAGGATTTTGAAAGTCTGACAGTAATCAGTGTTCAGTACTACTGTAAGGTTAACCCTGCCTGGTTTACATGCTTGAAAATGATTAACAGTTGAAAACATTAGAAATTTAGAAAAGTAATCAAAAAGTAATCAAATGTAATCAGCTACATTACTTTAATAAAGTAATTGAAAAGTTACGCTACTTATTACATTTTAAGTAGGGTAACTTGTAATCTGTAACCTATTACATTTTCAAAGTAACCTTCCCAACACTGTCTGTTGGTGGGTGATTTCAGTGATGACCTGTATACACTAAGTAGTCAAAGCATTGAAAAATGAGATGTACTGTCCGTAAAAAAAAAATATATGCCATTTTGTTTTGACAATGAATCAGTTGTTTTGTTGCTAAAAATTACCACTGAGGTAGTTGCTGCTCATTTGCATAAACTTTTATCAACTGTTTTTGCATCTGGACACACCCACATCATGTCAAAACAGTCACTGTGACCCATGAAGCTGGAAATTGACAACTGTCATTGAAAATGAATGACTTCTGGTCACTTTGTTGCTCCAAATGTCTGTCAGCATGAGTGTATCCGACAAAACTGAAAGTATCCAATGATGCTGAAACGGAATTGAACATTCATATTAATTTCAGTGATTAGTTTACATTTTGATGGTATCCTCAAAAACAAATGACCATTTCTCACCTTCTCACCATTTGTAGAAAACGGTTGTCATATGATCAGTCTGCCAGTTTTTATGTTGCGTGCATACAGAAGCTGATGCTTTTGTTCCTAATCAGGATTTCAAACATCATATTGTTCTTGAACAATAGCATATTAAAAGTCCTCCTAATTTCTTTTATAGTCAGGCACACTTTAATTACCATATCTAATGAAACAATTAAATCACAACAGAAGTCACAGCTTCTGATTTGTACCTTTGTCTTGCCTTGGTAACTAAAAGAGAAATATTTAGTGCTTAGGATCTCGTATGCTGTTAACAGGTCATTGTGGGTACTCTTTTATAAATCTGCATCTCCCAAGAAAATACTGTACAACATCTGATGAATATTGATTCATTTTTGCTCTCTGATTGACTACTGAAATGCAATCTTTCTTCCATACAAATGACGACCTCACCTTTTCTGTGCTAAAAACAAAGTGAGGCATGCATTAAAAGTATGCTAGGAAAGGCATATTTTCAAACCAAGTCTCTTGAACACATTAAAAAGGTCCTAACAGAACAGAAAATTAAATTGTATGTGCCATCCAGCATGATAGACGATAGAAAAATATGTATCGCCGCACATACTGAAGAGAGTATATAGATATGTGCACATTAAGGCAACCCTGGTATGAACAACCTCCATGGAATGTTTTATTATAGACCATTGCCAATTATTTTCTGAAGCGAAGCTACATGACTATGACGTCATAAATGAAAATAATAAAAGCACACATGAGGTTGAACAGAAAATTAAGATAAAAAAATAACATGGGCACATCTTCACATCATATTTTTGGTAGAACAAATAAGAACAAAATAAGAAAAATAAAGAAGTAATAATTTTTTTTTGTAGAATTATCACATTAATTATCTGAGCTGCATGTCCATATCCATATTAGTCTGTCTTTATTACATATTTCTTTGATTCTTCTATAAATAAAACAACTGATAACAAGGAAACCTTGGTACAATTAAGTGCGTCTTGTATTCCATTGACAGCTTCAAGTAGTCAAATATCCATGCTTAGACTTAGAAACATCTGCGAGAATGATTAGACCTCTAATCTAACAATATTCTCTGCTTGTCCTTACAAAAACGTGTGTGTACTATATATTTTTTTCTTCCTTCACATGAGTCGACAGTGTCGGATTTTTATGCACGAAACACACTGAATAAATAATCAAATGATCTCTCTGTACAATAGAATTACTAAAAAAAATACAACTCAGGTTCGTATGTACATCATCTACCTACAAAGTACAACCGCTATCATGTAATAAAATATGTAAACAAATTTCTCATTCGACACAGTCGACTGTGACAACAGATAGATTTTTTTTTCACACTCTTCACATTAGATTTATTTTCGTATAGACATCCTTTAACAGTATCATAGCACTGCGCCAGTCTGCACCAGACAGCTGTATAAAAAAGAGACGAGAGCAAATGGACCAACATACATACGGTTGAAAAAGTTCCAATCTGCGACACGTTCTCTTGTCGAGTCGCTTTGAGGGACGAGAGGTCTATCTGATGATCGGATCGGCTCGGTGGGCAGATGTGATCGAAGCGAAGGATGGCATGGCATGCACTACAATCAGTCGCTTTACTGAGACAAGGAAATGTCACTGTCTTTCTGGAAACTCACACATTTGCAATATTACAGTTGGTTGTACAATTAAAATGATCAGTTTCGGCTGGAAATCCTAACAGTGCTGTGCTGTCAGAGCCTTGGTGACAGGTCTTCGTTTATTACAATGTGTTTTTCTTCTTTTTGCAGAGAGCAAAAAATGATAAGACACCACATGTAATGTATAAACAATACAAATTTCTCATATATAGAATTTATATATATATATATATATTTATTTATATATATTTATTTATTTATTTTGTTGGCAGGAGTCCGTTTTTTCGCGTGAACAACATTTTTTGGGTCCCACTTTCGTTATGGACATCAGCACTATGTGTCTCTTACATGCTTAAAACGTTCTCCTCTTTTTTTTTTACAGAGTTACAAAAGAAAAGAAAAACGAGATTTACGCCAAGGTTCACATACCTCTAAAAGTCACTTAGGATTATGATGTAGCTGTGGAATATTCTACACTGATAACGTCTCCGACCAGATAAGAGGAATAAGGTCACTAATGTTTGCTATTTTACCTTTGTGGTATTCTTACGGTTGTAAGTGTGCTTTATGGTACAGTTCGCCTTCTCGGCATAGCGCCGGGATTCGGCTCCTGTCCCTCTCTCGGCGCAGCGCCCAACAGCTCAAAGTTCTGTCAAAGCGACGGGCGACATTCTCACACGTAGTACTCCTTGTCCTTGTTTTTCTGTTTCTTGTTGCTGCTTTTCGCGCTCTGCTGTTTGTCCTTCATGACTGCTCCATTGCTCTGCGCCGAGTTGGTTATGTAATTTCTGGTCTCGTCCACTTGGTAGGATCCCTCGTCCCTGTTTCTGTACTTATACATGGCGTACAGCAGAATTAGGATGCACAAAGCGGCTGCGGCAACTATCCCGACGACCATTCCGGTGGTGCTGCTAGATTCACGGACCACCTCGGAGGCCCCCGGAACCCGCCTGATGCCCGGCTCCGTGGGGATTGCTGTGGGTACATTACGGAACATGGGGGAGGTTATTAATGGGCTCTTCAGCTTTGTGTTGTCTACCTCATAGGAAGTGGGCAATGGAAGCAAGACTATGTCGGGCTGGGGCTTTAGCTCCCTGTGATTCATTTTGCCCGCGGGCAGTTTGGGTGGCGTGGACGTGGTTGTGAAGCGGCTCAGCTTGGGGGAAAAAGACGTGGTAGTAGTCCTACCAGAATCGGAGACTTTGTTAGGTCTAAAGTCCTTGGATCCCCACTTAGGCGCGTGAGCTTTGTAGCCACCTTCAAAGGTCGACGAAGACAAGGTCTTATCTGTTACCAAGGAGAAGGTGGTGTAAAAATCTTCATCATCAGTAGGGGGCAGGTTAGAGTCGTATGCTTCCCCAGAGCCATACCCAGATATCATCAAGCCATCATCATCATCATCACAATCATCGCTGCCTCGGTCCGACAAGCAAGGTAGGTTGTGACAAGGGAATTGGACCTATGAACATACTACATAGGAGATGATAATGATGGGGGTGATTGTGTAAGTCAGTTGCCATGTCCATGTATAGGCAGTACGAAGCGGTCGGGCAGCATTAACGTTTTTGGCTGTAAGGAAGGGATGGGGATATACAAACAATGAGCATATACATGCCCATCTACGAAAAAGAACAAAACTCTAACACTGACAATCTGACAAACCCTAAACTGCAACTTCTTCGCCATGCAGTTTGGAAACATTCTTTAAAACGTCAATTGTTCATCAAGATCAACTCTCAAAATTTGAAAAAACAAAACAAATAAAAAACAAGAAGATAGATCAAGATCTGGAACCTTTTCATTGACCATCATGTGCCTTTTTTTTTTTTTTTTTATCAAATTGGGTTGTTTTTGCATTTGAGATGCAATTTTGTTCTTGATGTTATTCTTGTCATTTTAAAATGATTTCAATGATTTATCACAGGCTCTGACTAGCAGCTACAATATTACATGCCACAAATGACTGCTTGAGAAAGCGTGACATTGAAGTGCACGGTTTGTGGCAATAAAACTTTTTCTATGCCATCTGCATTCTAAAATGACTTCATATGCAGACCGGCTCAGTCATGTGAGGAGGAAGTAAAGGGCATTCAAGGATGTTGGTCATTCTTAAAACACAACTTTCTTAAGATTACATCAATACTTGAGCTCAAAAAACTCCTTGGATGGCAAGAAAAGATTTTGTTGCCTGTTATTTGCTTTGTTAATCAAAATGACAATGTTCAAGGTCAAGCCCAGATGGTACAGATGCTTGAGAAAAATGAAGGAAAAATCGATTTCAACACCAAAATATCATGCGGAACAAGATGAGGCGAGATGACAGGAATGTTGCTTTTGGATAGCTGGGAAAAAGATGAGGACTTCACCAAAAATAACACTGACCACGGACAAGCTCATGAAATTAAGAGGACAAATCAAGGGGAAGTACCCCACGCATGCGGTACAGAATACTCTCTGAATACGAGGACGCACCCCTGCAGCGGTAATGTCTCATGCAGCTACACATCAACTGATGTAGAGGTTAGAATGGCATGAATTTCTGTGTAAACGTGACTGGATGATTGGGACCCTGCCAATAGCTTTCTTTATGAGTACATAAAGATTCCAGAAAGATGGATATTGTTCTCAAACCGCTAAACCGATGAATGTCATTTGGAAGAAATTGGCATTGACATTTGAAAGAATTGCAGAGGGTGAGAACAGGTTGAGACAAACAAAGCAGATAACTAGCCTGTCATGTCTGCATGAAAAATTAAATGTATACATTTTCATCCAATGGAGCACAATAAACATGTTGCACATTTCTGTGATAAAAGATAGTGTGCTCATTACAGGCCAATAGATAAAACTAACAAGCCATGAAATGGCTTTGGCCTCTGGAAATTATATGATCGCACATTGTTCTTCTTGTTATGTGCTGGTTCGCTTTTCCAACATGGAAAATGTATAATTGGGGGTTTGTTCAATTAGGGGAACATCTGGCTTTGTAGACTTGGTGGAAAACGCACTTTTCAGACTTTTGCTAGTTTATTTAGTCATTTGTAACCAAATTACTTTCTGACATTTTTCTAAAACACCACCTTTCATATAATGTAATGCATTTCATAACATTTTGTGGTGCAAAAAAAAAAAAATCGAAAAAATAAAATAAAAACGTCTATAAATATAATTGTGTACAACATTTAGACAATTATTTATTATTTCAATTTATATAAATAAGGGGGGAAAAATCTAATATTTATTATTTAGATGTTTATTATTATTTTGCTCTGTTTAGATTAATAAATTAATACTGAATAATTTTAACATGAGTAACCTTTTTAAGATTGAACGCCTGGAAAAAGTGTAAAACTAATTTAAAATAAATGGTGAAGCTATGGTAAAAACTTTCCAAGACTAGTAATATATTTTAACGTGACCTTTATATGAAAAAAAAAAAATCTGTTCATGATATCTGTTCATTTTAATAAAAATCAACCATAGGATATAAAAAGTGCCCGAAGTTGAAGAAACACCCAATTATTGTAAGTGGTAGAGTTTTACTCAAATTATAACGAGATTCATTTGACCTCTCTGACTGGAATCATAATTTGCAAAGGAATTACATTTTGATTATCTATAACAGCAATCAAAAAATGTGCATATTCCACAAAAGACATGACAGACTATTTTCTCAAAGCTACAATTATGTAAAAAAAATAAAAAATAAAAAGCCAATACCCAACTTCTCTCAAATATTTCTCTTTCTCACTATCAATCTCTTTTTTTCTAATCACTGAATTGTATTTTTCATATTTGGGTTGGAAATATTAGCAGAACAACTTGTTCACACTGAGGCAAAATTATATCGTTAAAAATAAGCATAACGACACAAAACAAAAATTTGTACACAGAAATTCGATGATATCTGTTCTCTATTATAACAAGTTAACTTAAATCAAACCTCTTGAAATGAGGAAACAGAAAGGAATCGAAAAGACTGCTTCAACAGCAATTAATCTGATAGATATCACTCTACTATAAGGCTGAAAGCAAAGTGTCAAAATGTATCATGTGCCAAAATGCAGTCCACTATCACATGGCAAAAAACCTCAGTATGATACATTTTGAAGCATCAATGCAGAGAACATGTCACTTTTCTGTACTAATTTTGTACGTATGCTCTCATAATAGGCACTGGGGACAAAATTAGTAATCAGTGTGACCATGTTAACCACTTCGGAAAACCCCATGGCCAAGTGTAGCTCGTAATAAAAGTTTTGGGGGAATGATTTGAGATTAGCTCTGATTCAAGGCTACTGAATGGACTAAGCATTAGAGAACCATGCCTATTTCTGTTTTGTTTAGATTATTACTTAAGATATCCTACTACTGTATATCCATGTCTCTATATTGGCGTACATGGGTTGGATTGGACAGGAAGTTACACTTTTTCTATCCATGGGGGGAGGCGATGCTTTGAGGATCTGATCCTCAGTTGCAAACGAAAGGCCACCACATAGAGGCAAGCAAAATTCAACTGACCTAGCCCACCTGCATGTCCTTCGCACTCAGCAAAGTCCTCGTCGTCACTGGAGCATTCAGCCGAAGAGACCATGTCATCCGTGGTCTATAATACGGTGAAACACACACACAGGAGAATAGACAAACAAAAGAGAGACTTGAATGCATTAGATTGTACCACCATAACGCAGAAGAGCATTTTTAGATAATGTTTGCAATATATACTGTAAGTCCAGATGCATTTTTTCTGCACCAATTTAAAGTAAAATTTGTGGTGTGGACTCAAATCTGATTAAAAAAAAAATGTTACAACAAAATGGTATGGTAAGAAGGTGCATGACCAAAAACATCCAAGAAGGCCTAAAAAAAAAGGACAGCAACCTTTCTGACAAACCGATAAAGACTGAAAGTATCTATTTTAATAGAGTTTGAAAAAAAAAAATACAATAATAATAATAAATAAGTCAGTATTTTTGTAATAATTTATTGCTCATTACAAGGACAAAATATAAACAGTAATGAGGATTTCCATTAAAACAACAAAAATAAATGAATTCAAAAATAAACTATAAAAACAAACAAACAAACACACACACACCCACACACACACACACACACAGGTTTGATTTTATGGTTTATGGGGACTCTCCATAGGCGTAATGGTTTTTATACTGTACAAACTGTATTTTCTATTGCCCTACACCAACCCTACCCCTAAACCTACCACTCACAGGAAACTTTCTGCATTTTTAGATTTTCAAAAAAACTCATTCTGAATTATTTATAAGCCTTTTGAATTATGGGGACACTGAAAATGTCCACATAAATCACCTTCTCATTGTAATACCTATGTCATACCCATGTTATTATACGAATTTGTGTCCTCATAAACCACATAAACATGCACACACACACACTCTTAATTGTTTATTTACTCTCATTATCTACTATTTTTTATAAATTAGTTACCAGCAAGGTTTTCTAAAAAGTCATAAAACATTTTCCATATGAACTAAACTATACAAAGTTTGTTTTTCAAGAAATAAATAAAGTCATACGTTTTAAAAAAAATGTAAGCAAATTAATAAATAATATATGGATTTAGAACAAGATGAGGGTGGAATAATAAAATGATTTTCATTTTCGGGAGACCTATTCCTTTAAATGAAGCTGAGAGTACCACGCTCTTATTAGCAGCTGAAAGCATAATCAAATTAGCCACAAAATGTAATAAATGAATATGCAATGAGTCTGAGATTTAGGGCATTTTTTAAATGACAGAACCTTCCGAGGAGCTCTGCAGGAACACAATTCATGTAAGCCTGCTCATAAGTCAGTGTCATTATTTCCCTGTCAATAAACATTAATTCACCGGTGACAGACAGTGAATGAGTTTGCTGAGCTCATCTTGGGTGTTAATTACAAACATTTATTTGGAAAAACTGCTCACGTCAAACATTTATACGAGTCACCTCCATCTCGCCCTTTCGAGAGTCTGCATGGATTTCCCATCATTGTATATCATTGCCGCTGAGAGGAGAGCACCAAACACACAGCGGCACTGTGTTTATCTGTGTGCCTCCAACGTCTCCCGCTCTGATTTATCCCCAGCTCTCTCCCTTACTCATGCCAACTGCCGCGGTGAGCTCGTTTTTCACACCCTCTGCTTGGCATGTCTTTATTAGGAGCAGATTAGAATGTGGGGCAAAATAAGTACTGTCGTAGACCAGGTTTATGAAATTTTAAATAACACAGGGAGCAATGGAAAGCGCTCTCCCATGTGAAAGCGCAAGGTCATAAATATGATTGGGTTTGATGGAATAATAAAATGTTTTCCCTCTATATTCTTGGTGGACTTTGCTCGAAAAAAAAGACTTTATTTTTTTCCCAGTTTTGGTATGAAAATGGTGCAAAAAACCATTCGAATGCACATCAGACTGGGCGGAGGTGGCGCTTCACACTGGCGGGATGTGGAATATCGCTCTATGTGAATATAAAATTATTCATTGAATTTATATTTAGTGTGGCAAACAACTCATCTTCGTGACTGAAGGAGCAGGAGGATATCACAGATGCAGAAAGCAATGAGAAACGTAATTGACTGATTGTGGAGAAAACGTGAAATTATTTCAGGTTTCCGTTTAATCTCATAAACCGCTCCGAACAGAACCCACGGTTGATATTCGGTATGAAAATGTTACTAATACAATGGCCGCCTTGAATATGCATGTCTGTGGATACACGCAGACTAACGCACAGGTACGTACAGATCCCGGAATCAGTCAGAATATCTCAGAAGCCGCTTTTCATATCCTCTTTCACAAAAACACGAGCTCAGTGTTGATACAGGCCGAGAATGCAATGGAGAGCTGCTGCATTATGCCATTTTAGAATCATATATTGATACTTCTGTTGGGAATGAGAAAATGGCCTAATCCACATATTAACAATGCGAGAATGTGTTTTGGTGGCATATAAGCCTCATCTGTGCTGAAGAGTCTAATCTTTTCCCCTCCATCTCTCACGCCCAGTCTGTCAGTGACGGGAACTTAATATTGAACTCCTGGAAGATTAGCTTGTTTCTTCACTCTTCTCAAAGCCGAGAGTGTTATGCTTCATGGTGTCTGACAGATAAGCAAACCCGGTTAAATCCGTTCAATTTATTTTCAGTCTTAAGGAAATTACACATTATTTAAAGAACAATGTATTTTGTACAAATAAAAAATAAATCAAGAATCATCTGTTTATTGATTTTTTTTTTAAAATTGGCTTTTCTTCTCAAAGAACAATTTTTCTTGCCATTTGTCTCTCAAAATACAGCAAGAATGTGACCGCTTCAATTTAACCCAACATGCTCGTTTTAAATTCAGTGATGAAATCCATAAAAATGTACTCAAGCACCCATGGTTTTATCATATTTGGCAAAATGACACCTGCAAGCTTTGGGAGAAACTCTTTAAGGGTTAAAAGGGGTCATACACCAAAATCATTGCACTTTTCTTCACCTTAAATTACTGTGCTGACAGTCTTGCATAATTTAGTGACTTAATACAAGACATTTCTTGTAAGTATAAACATTTCTGAGGCATAAAAGCTTAATAGTCTCAGTGCTTGATGAAAAGCTTCACAAATTTAGTGCTGCTGACCCGTAGACCCCCTAAATCACCTATTTCTATTGATTCATTTCATTCCATTTGGCTTGTCTCGCAGGGTGATTTAATTGAGGTCAGAGAGCAGCTTGTGTGAACAATACAGTACATTTCATTAATAACACTGAAAGAAGTGCAGTGTGAACACAAGAACAGACTTAAATACATTAACACTGAAAGCCTATTATCAAGTCATGTGCAGCCCAGCTAAACCTGCAATTTCAAACATTGACGTTCTTTATCTTCACTCAGTGCTGAACTGTTAAAAACTCTTAAAATATGTGTCAAATATGGAGAGAAAAAAACAGACAGAGGAAAATAGTTATCTCATATACATGACTGGTATCAAAATATTAAATGCTGAAATTTGTTCTTTTTCTCAGATTATTATTTTTTTAATTACTTTATTCATTCATTTATTTATTTATTTATTTATTTTTGGACCGAGTAGCCCATATTTACAAAATCTGCAAAATGAAATCAAAGTCGAAATGCACATGACACAGGATCAGCACATCCTCTGCCAAAAGTCTGTGCATGTAAATCCTGTAGATATAGGAGCAAGCGTGTGATTTACGCTCCAAACAGAAGCCAGATCATTCATTTCACAGGAGCCCCTCAGTCCTAATCGATTATACAGCACCAAGGAAAGTGCTGATGCTGGAATAATCTTTGAGATTTAGGAAGTTCCTCCTGTTATGTTTTTATGCCTCTTTTTGATTTAAGACGTGGGTATAGTCAACATGCTTGATGTCGAGATTTAGCATGAATCACTGGGAGCCGAACTAACTCTGATGTCCCAATCAGTGAAAAAAAGTCATTCTGATGTCCTAATGAGTGGAAAACTAACAATTTCTGATGTCACAGTCAGTGAGAAAAAATACTAATTATGATGTCATAATCACTGGGAACAGAATTATTTATGACATCATAATCAGTGGAAAAATAACTAATTATGATGTCACAATCAGTGGGAACAGAATTGATTATGATGTCATAATCAGTGGAATAATAACTAATTCTTATATCATAATCAGTGGAAAAAGACATTTTGATGTCAATCAGTGTGAAAAGAACTAATTCTGGTGTCATAATCAGTGGAAATATAACTAATTATGATGTCATAACCACTAGGAACAGAATTAATAATGATGTCATAATTAATGGAAACACAACTAATGCTAATTTCGTAATGAGTGAGAACACAGCTAATTCTGGTGTAGTTATCAGTGGGAAACCACCCATTTCTGAGGTCATGATGACTTAGAACAGAGCATCATAACACTGAACTGAAGGAGGCATTTCTGCATACAAAAATAAAATAGGCTCTAAACTTTGCAAAGAAAGTCTAATTGTTTTGTTTTTTAACAGCATTTGAATCATACTGATATAAATACAGTGCGATCACAGCTCTCATGTTCAGAGCGTACAGGTAGCACACTGGCACCTAATTGAATGGATGAGACAGTCTGATTTAGCTAACCAAACAGATCTAATTAAATGAACCTTCCAATTAAATAATTTACAGCAGTAAGGTAGAGCAGAATGGTGATTCAGAAATAGGTTGTCTAGCAGCGTGTATTCTATCACACTCTTGATTTGCTCGTGGGAGGTGAGGAGTTACCAGCTGCAAATGTGATATTTCTTTACAACAATTCAATAATAAGAAGTTAATATTGTGGTATATATTAGACACAATATTGTCTGATTTTGCTAAATTGTGGAAGTGAAAATACTACCTATAAAGTCACAGAAGAACTGTTGTGCGTCTCTTAATAAAACACAATAGGTGTTGGACTTGAAGCAGCACTGCACAGACCATTTGTTTCTCGACATGTCCTCCCAGCAACAACACAGCAAGAGATGCTAGCTGCTGTGCACAGCAGATGCATGGTGACAGATAACAATCCCCGGAATTGGCCACATACCTGTCTTAGATTCAGTGTTTTACAACTTA